GTAGGAGTCAATGTAGAACATGAACTCTTCATGTTGAATATTCCATTCTACATTGTTTATTTTGTTTATTTCAGAATAATAAAAAGAATTTATTCTTCTCTCATGTGAGAGTTTCTTGCTCAGTTTTCAAAAAAAAAAGGAAAAAGAAAAAAAAGAAGAAAAAAAAGAAAAAAAAGAAAAAAGAATAAATTTTTGTTTTCATCCTCCTCAGACCAAAGGTAATTGCAGATTTTTATCAGCCGACCAAATGTAAGTGCTTCACTTCTTATCTACTTTACTTTATGCATCATAGAGTTTGCATTGAGGACAATACAAAAATTAGGTGTGGGGGTGGGAATTAGTTATTTTTTTCTCTTTATTTTACATTTTTAGTTACATGTTTTCCCTTTTTCCTTAAAAAAAATTTATAAAAAATATCATCGCTTGCCAAATTGATAGAGTTATGTAATAATTGATTTATTTGAAATTTTCTAATCCCTAGTTAGTTATTTACTTAAGTTCACCTTTTATGATAACTCTAAATAAATTTCTTAAGAAATAATTTTTAAAGTAGTATACTTTACTTAAGCCTTGACTTGGACTTTTATTTAAAATAATGAAATTTTTGCATGCTTAGCTTAAAGTTAAAAATAATTTTTCAAAGTGTCTTGATTTACATATTTTTTTCAAAATATATATACATACAAAAAAAAATTTGCAAAAGAAGAGTGCGAAAAATGGGTACAAAAAAAACTCTTGAATTCAAGGTGATTCTATCTTATAAAGCCTAAGTTGACCGAGTAATTAAGCCCAAGGAGTATTTCCATACTTAATGACCTAAGCCCATTTGGGTTGGGATCCATTGGCCCAAAACTCGTTAAATGGTCACTTAGAAAGCCCGTTAAAGTAGAAAAAAAAATCACCAAGAAAGAAAGAGTTAAAAAAAAACTAATAAATGTTTTATAATTGTATATATGGTCTTGGAAAATATTTTAAATCAAGCAACTTGAAAATTATTTAAAACAAAGAGTTAGCATGTTCTTTTCAAAACTTTTAAATTAAATTTCTAAGTCTGGCTTAGTTTTGTATTGCTACAATGAGAAGATTTTCTTAAAAATATACCTTAGAGTTATATATAAAAATGTTTTCTTGAGTGATAACTGGCTCCAATTAGATTATCTAAAAGTTATCAAGTGAATTTAGTTATTTACTGACTTCTTAAATTTGGCAAGTCAACCGAATTTTGTGGGTATATTCACTGCAAACCCTCACGAGACTACAACTCGTCCACTAGGGTAACCTAGGGGTTTAAAGGCTTGTTGTATGCGCTAAATACAACCGCGATTCCTGCGAAAGTGAGTTAGGATTTTCTTTTTATTGTTGTCTATCCGATAAGGAAGCAGAACAAGCACTTAAAGAGGCGCATGAGGAGACATGTGGTGCACATCAACCCGGTCCTAAACTCTACGACCGACTTAGGAGAATTGGGTATTATTGGCCAACTATGATTAAGGATGCGGCTGATTATGCCCGACGATGTTAAGCATGCCAATTACATGCAAATTATATGCACCAACCTCCAGAGCATCTACACCCGTCAGCAACGTCATGATATAATATATGAAAATCGCCTATCTCGACGAGACGAAGCCAACCGTGAAGTCAGAATTCTTATTGGAGTATCGATGCCAGCATCGATGCAGGCATCGATGCGGGCATCGATGCTTGTATCGATGCGAAGTCATCCAGATTGTATCAACGACCGAAATTGCATTCTTGGGGCTCAAGTTTGATCCAAGGGCTCTCATTCACTGATGTTTACTATAAATAGGGGTAGAGAGTGAGGGGTTAGAGGTGTGAAAATTTTGTAAACTCCTTTTGGAGAGGAGGGCTACTCTTAATTGAGAAGGCCTTCCAAAATTGTAACTTTAGTTGCAATTAATAATAATAATTTTTTCACCACTTTAAATATTTCTTCTCTTTGTTGGATGATGAAGATGGAGATGAAGAATTATTTAGAGGTTTGCATTTTCTTTCCTTTTTCTCTTTTATTTCCTTTTTATTGCTTATTAGTGTAGATTTATTTCTATGCTTGTAGTTTAGATTTTATTTTCTTGTTAAATAGCCAAGAGGCTAGAACCCTCTTGCCTTAGATTTATTTCATGCTTATAGAATAGATTTATTTTCTTGCATTTAATTCTTGCAATTTTATTTTGTAGTTTAGATTTTGCACTTTATTTTGTAGTTAGATTTTAATTTCTTATACTATTCACCTTGAGGCTAGAACCCTCTTGGGTTTAGTTTTTCTTTTTGTTTATTTTTATTTTGTTTGATTCTCCTTTAGGCTAGAACCCTCTAGGGAATCACCCTTTTCTAAGAAGTGGGTTCAATTGTAGATTACTCATATCTATAATTGAATCCACCATCTTTAATTTCTTGCATTTTCTTTTATTTTTGAATTTTGTTCTTCATTCTTGATTTTTCATTTGTTTCTTGATTTTATTCATTTTTTCCTTCTCACCTTATTGATCATACTCATTCTTTTTCAAATCTACTCTCACTTACACTTTGCATCTATTTACACACCATTTTCACTCTCTCAATCTCTTCACAATCACATTCACTTATCACTCCTATTTGTCACGCACACAAAATAAGAACCAATTTTATATTTTCTCCTACAAAATACCTTCCTCGTGGGATCGATATCTTAAATACTATAACTTGACACAGTTGTGCACTTGCAACCTTTTTGGTACATGTTTATGCCGCATCACGGTCTCTAGGCAAGAAAATAATAAGAATTCCTTCATTAAATTGTTGCCATATGAGATGGCTCTCCACTTTCCTTCTCCAATGTCAAATGATAGATGTCATGGCGAAAAGGAAGTTGACAACCATTGGATGAGGAAGCCAAAATGTTAAGGTGTCATTAAATATGATAAGGTCAGGGTTGCTAATCTGTTTCTTGCAAAGAAGGTTAAAATTTTAAAGTTAATTACTCATTCAGTGAAAATAATATTGACAAAGAAAACACTGTTAATTCCTTATCATTAGAAGCTACACGTAGCGGGTGTTTTGACCCAACTTCAAAGGAGTTGCGCCTGAAATGAGCAACTTATTCATTCAATTTTTTGGTCCCCAGGAAGCTCGAACGATCAAGGAAATACTGCTCGGATCTAGTTTAAACCCGGACAAATTAGTATGACAAATAGCATAGTTTCAGTCCAAAGCGTGTACTATTTTATTATTGATCGAGCTATAGGAATCAGAGTCAGAGACTACGGTAGTACCCATATATGGATTGAAAATCTATTTTAAATTCGTGGCAAGTGAGATTCGAATATGGTTTCTCATGATACCATCTTTAAAATCAGTATATCGTTACTATGAACCTATGGGAAAAATTGATGGTTTATTGTCTTATATCCTAATAGGTTTGGTGACTTGGCCGTGCTAGTGGTTGCAGTGTCCTCATCCTGGCCAACTAGTTCAATACTCCTTGTTGGCAACGGTTCTTCAATGAAGGATGCTTTAAAATTCTCCAAATAACTAATCCAAAACAATTCATATAAATGTCTATACATATAACTTTGATCATAGCTTCATCTTGAATCAGTCTAAACGCCATATTCAAAGTCTATTGAAGGTGGCCAAAATTCCAAACTAAATGTTGTAGCCTTGAAGGATTTACATCCAGTTTGAATTTTCTCTTAGGCTGTTTGTTTGCGCAAATAAAGAGAGAAATGGGGGGTTTGAAATCTGACAAGAAGGCCATATAGGATTTTGGTTTCAAGACATTTCCATTCTCTGCGTTTGTTCGCTGGGTGATTTAAAAAAATGGGGGTGAAATGAGTTGCCACATCAGATTTTCAAGAAAACTCATTCAGATCAAAAGTGGCTGAAATAGGTTGGAAATGTCACATCTGAGCATATTTAAATATTTAAAGCACTATTGAAACAACGACTTGAATTAAAGGGGAATATTTAATGTCCTGTCGCTGAATATGTAATTGGAAAACTCATTTGATTTCTTGATTTTGGATGTTCAAACAAACCCAAGAAATGGGAAACAATGTTTTCCAGCCTATGATTTTAATATGAAACAAACCAAAAAAAAAAAAAATGGGGGAAACCTTCTGAAATGTCCAGAAATGTTTTCCAGCCTAGTTTCTGAAATGTCCAAGAAATGTTTTCGGAAATATACCAAACAGTAAGTGAAAAAACATGACATGTAGTTAAGAAATTCCCTAGACAATAGAATAGTAAGCTACTCTACTCAAATGATATCATATATATCAGCCTAACTACCAGAGAGAATTTCAACAGAATTTAAGTACTTAGCTGATCATTCTCCTAACAAACCTTAAGCACATGGTAGTTTGGTACCCTTGTTAGTTATACAAAATAATAGGGTCACATGATTAGCTCAATAATGGGAGCTAATGGAGAAAATAATAGCTTTCAACTCTCATTACAGTTTCAACTACCAATTATTAACAGATAAAATTAATAGTGATTGCTTTGTTTTCTCAAGCTTAATGTAAATGAATGACCTAAATACATTCTTGAGACCATTTTTTAAACAAAATTTAACTCTACTAATGAGAAAGAGGGCTAGAAAACTTAATACAATAACTCAAGCTTACATATCTCTATGACTTTTTGAGTGTGGAAGTATTGCCCTCACGTTTGAGCCCTAAACGTTAGTGACCTAGCACATAGCCATTAAATTATATAAAATTTTTCTATAATTATCACTTTTACAATTATCATTTCCTTTTTTTTTAATCTTAACACTTGCCTTCGATCGTGATTGACAAAACTCTACTCATTTGAGACAAGATTCATATATTACACATATCTACAGAGTCGACAAACACCACGGCTACTGTAATCATTGTATAATAACATATAAATTCCTTCTTAAATTAATCAGATTCCTTATCCAGCTAGCTCACAAGAGCCCCTATAAATACATCCTAATCTCATTCATTAACATTCCATCAAATCCCTCCATCTTCATCAATTCAAAGTAAATCCAATGGCAAGGAGCACCCCATTCATCTTCCTCATCACTCTCATCTCCTCCTCAACTTTAGCAAAGGCGACCTACAACATTGTGGATTTCGGAGCACAGCCCGATGGGCTAACCGACTCATCCGGCCCAATTACGAGCGCATGGGCCAAGGCCTGCAGCTCAGTGAGGCCCGCTTCGGTCTACATACCGGTCGGAACCTTCTATGTCAGTAGGCTTACGCTGAAAGGCCCATGCAACAACACCGATATTCGTATCTACATCCACGGCACTCTAGTTGCTCCTGTAGGTTACAATACAGATGACCGTTGGATCGGTATCCAGTTTGTCGACGGCGTATCGGTCTACGGCGGCGTGTTCGACGGGCGAGGACAGCGGTTATGGAGCTGCAAGCTCGCCGCCGGGTACAGCTGCCCTTTAGGCGCCACGGTGAGTTTAAAAAACCCGTTACAGATTCTAACGATCGGGCCGATGGATTACGAGCTAACAATATGCGTATATATGTTTGCTCAGTCGATAGCGATCAGTCGCTCCCGGATGGGAGAAGCCGATCAAGTTACCATCACCGGATCCTACATCAGGACCGGGGACGATTGCGTCTCTATGGGCCCGGGGTCCACTAACGTTTGGATCGAGGGCATCCACTGTGGGCCAGGCCATGGTGTAAGGTAGTAGTCCGCGAACAAGGCCCGCCAACTGAAATCTGTTTTCGCTCGTTCAAAAAAAAAAAAAAAAATTGGGGCTAATGATTCGAAATTGTGTTTTGGTGCTGCAGCATTGGGAGCCTAGGGAGCACAGCGCAGGAGCCAGGGGTGCAGAACGTAACAGTCAAGTCTGTCGTGTTCACTGGGACTCAAAACGGTCTGAGGATCAAGACGTGGGCCAAGCCCAATACTGGATTCGTGCAACGAGTTAATTTTCAGAATGCGATCATGAGGAACGTACAAAATCCCATAATCATTGATCAAAGCTATTGCCCGGGAGCAATTAATTGCCCCACTCAGGTAGCTTGAAGAACTAATGTTTGCAAAGCACAATATTTAGGAGCCATTAAATTATTTTATTAGCACCTTGTAAACAATAAAATTCCAGGTCATATAATTATATCTTCCATTTGACTGAGATATCTGTGAAAATCATCGTAGTAGGACAAAAAATAGTTTGCATATATCTTAATTTTTTCATGACTTTGTTTATTTCAGAGCTCGGGCATTAGGATTAGCCAGGTGACGTACAGCAATATTCAAGGATCGTCGGCGACTCCGGTGGCCGTAAAATTCGACTGCAGCCCGAGCAACCCGTGCAACGGAATCGGACTACAGAACGTGAATCTCACTTACGGCAGGACCCCCGCGCAGTCTCTTTGTAGGAATGTTGCCGGGAGTACTACTTCTGGAATTGTAGTTCCACCAAGTTGCTTCGGGACTTGACGTAAAGGAGGGAAAGTTTGGGGAGGAGAATGTAAAAATGACGCATAATAGAGTTTGATAATTAAGCACGTGTAATTTAGAGAGGGAGAAGCGAAATGTAATGTAATGTATCACGATGTAAAATGTATTATAAATTGATTTTTAAGTTTGAGATGTACTCTTTATACTATATCCTCAAGCGCAAAAATTTTCAGCATCAGCTTTGGTTTCTTTTATTACTTTTATGCCCTTTCACAGCAATTTCTTGTTTCTTTTTTTTTTTGAACTGAGAAACAGGGTGAGGTACCATGTTCATAAAAGATATTATATAAGGATACTAGAAAGAAGTCTGATACAAAAACAAAACAAAACAAAAAAAGCCGAGAGGGAAGAACAAAGAAGAGAAGAAAGCTGATAAGGAGCGGAGCTAGTCATCACCTACCTAGCTAACTCAAACAATGTCCTGACTGAAGGCCAAAAGAAAAAACACAGTCTGATACATCCATACACCAACACTGAAAATCAACAACACCATATCCTACAGCAAAAAACCGAGAAAAGCCAGGGCAGAGAGAAAAACTACCCGCATCAACTGACATCAAAGAAATTATCTCCATAAGCGCCATCAGTGTTCTTTTCCCAATAATTTGATATTGTAGCTATTAATCTGTTTCCAAATCAAATTAATTATTAGTTTGTATGCCCCTTTCTGTTTACTATATGTTTCATATGTTTACCGTTGGGTCCGTGGATTGGATTATAAAAAAGAAATAAACAAAGATCAAATTAAAGTGAACAAGAACGATTAAAGGAGGCGTGATCCATGGAATGGTGTTGGGCTTAGTATAACACAATAGTTGGAATTAGGAGCTTGAAGTTGAATTGCCCAAACAAAAATAAGGTTTCTGCTGGGCCTGTGAAGCCCAATAAGCGTCTTGGGTAAGAAATGATTCGGTACCATTTAATTCATGTGACATTATTTGAGTCAAAGATAATAAATCTATCATGTCTCATTTATAAGAGAGAGTTTTCATTAGCTTTTTTGATTTACTATATTTATATATATATATGACATTGCTTCAACTTTCTGATATATACCATTAACAATTTAAAACCGTTAAGAGGTCATACTTAAAATCCTAAAGGGAGTGTAAAAAATAAATTTAGCAAATTGTTATCCGTTTTTATTGCTTTTTAAAGAAAATTACTATTAAATTTATTTATTCAGAAAACAAGTTATTTCCTGTGCTAGGTTGCGCAAGTTCAATGGAACTAATCTGGTACAGTTTCTTCTTATATAATTCAAGTTAATCTTTATTTTAACGAAGAAGAAAAAACATGCTATTATAAAACATCATCACTAAATAACCTTGTTGACTAAAGTTTGGTTGTAGCCATGGTATCTCATGAGAATATTCCAATTACCATTACGCTAGAAGATCACCAAAAGTTAGCCCTTAACACTTCTCTCGCAGATGGAAATTGATTATAAATATTGAAAAATTCTTTAAGGACCCAAAATATGGGACCAATAGGGGGGACAAGTGAGGTGTCCCCCTCCTATTGGATAATGAGTTGGCCATTGTATGTAGGAAAAATTACAATGAAAAGAATAAAGAAAATTGATTTGTATTTCTTTGATTCCGATTACAACTTGATTACAAAAGAGAAGAGAACGAGTTTGATTCTCTCCTTTGTTTAAAACTGGGTTCTTCTCGGTAGCGATGGAATGCTTCCTTCGATTGCTCGCGTCGAATTTGCTCTCCGTTGACGATCCGACCGTCTCTTATCTCGTGGGAATGATGAACTTCTGTGGAAAAACTTATATTTAACTCTGAATGAGTTTAAGAACTCTGAACGAGTTAGAACTTTGTGAATAGAGTTGTTAGAACCGAAAATTCGGTTGGTGATCAAGCTGTTATTCTGTTGTTGAAGAATCCTCTCAGATTTGATCTTCTGAGTTTGATTCAAAAATCCTATCTCCAAGGATTTCGCTGCTGCTGTTGAATCGCCAAAACCTGAGTGGTTGAGATCTTCCTGTGGTCGATCTGAGCCAAGAAAATCGAACCTTTTACTCAGTTGAGTTTGTTGAGTTTTTATAGGGGGATAGGAGGTTGTAACTGACCCCTATATCCGCTCCTACGTGGGCGAAAATCCCTCAGAACGTGGAATAAACGGTTCTGAAACCGTTCGACTCATGTTTGAACGAGTCAAACGCCCAATATGGCGTTTAGCACCCAACTTCGCCTCTTAGAATTGAGACGCGAGGTTGGGTGTTAGCTGAACATCATTGAACGCGAGGGTCGCTCGCGTTTTGGTTTGTTGTAACTTGGAAACACGGGGGTCGGTATTGGCTGGACCCCTACGAACGCGTGGGTGGCCTGGAAACGCGGGGGTCGCCTGCATTTCTAGAATTGTAACGCGGGGGTGACATCCGCGTTTCAGAAGGAGCTTTTTGACTTGTAACTTCTTCTGTGAAGCGTTGCGAGGACCGTTGTTCAGTAATCCTGGCTTTAGCTGTTGTAGGGTATGAAAGTCTTCAGATTGTAACTTTCATCGTAGATTGTGAAGACTGCTGAATAGAGTTTTCATCAGTTGTCGGAAGTGTCGTTGAATTGTAACTCTTCTCGATCTTATATGAAAAGTCCTCTATTTGCCGCTTTTGATTGTCGACCCGAAAGCTATTTGATTGTAGCTTTCATTGTGAGAGCTTGACGGGAATCAACATCCATAGTGTTTTGAAGATGAATATTTGCCCACAGCTCTCTACCAAGCAACTCACCAACTAAGTCAAACCTTTCATTTCTGAAATCATTACACTGCTCATCAGCATCTCTAATAGTTGCTAATCATGTTGTTGTCGCAACCATCAAGATCAATCATCTAAAAAATGAGGCCGTGTTTGTAGCGATTGTAGAATTGCGAATACAGTGATTAGAAAGTCGTCTGATCGTGACTTTCATTGTCGGAGCTTGATAGGGATCAGCTATCCATTATGATTTTTAGACAGCCTACAGAACCCCCTCCAAAATTTTTGAAAGTTCGCGGTTGACTGGGATGAATTTTCGGAATACTTTGGATCCCAAAATTTAGTGGATTGATCGCTCACTCCGTCTGATCGAGCCAGATGATGTCAATATTGTTAATTGTAATCTATCTGTACTTTTCCAATAGACTCCCCAGTGGAGTCGTTCGTTTCTTCCTGACTTCGGTCGCCTTGACGATTGCTGTCAGCTCTTCTTTTATTCATCTGGGGCTGTGTCGTAGCCTTGGTAGTCAAGAAGCTGCTATCATAGCGGTCCAAACACAGAGATAATTTCTGCCTTTGGGTATTGGAACGCGTGGGTGAGTCTAGCGTTGGGAAATTTGAACGCGAATGTGGGCATCGCGTTTGGAAGCTCAAGCAACTCGAACGCGAGGGTCGAGTTTAGGCGGGCTGATGGCCTCGAATCCCGTCCGTTACGATTTGACAGCTCATAGCTGTCTATAAATAGACCGCTAGAGGTCAAATCAAGAGTCATTCGACTCTTCTTGAAACTTTAACGAAAATTTTCGTTCTTATCTCCGGCAAAAACTGTTCATCTCCTCCGACAAGATCTCATGGCACCCAAGAAATCTTCCAAGCCCGACGTCGCTTCCAAGTCAACGAGGAAACTCATTTCAATAACGCGGGGCTGGACTCCGTCGTTTGGTATTTCTGACGCGGGGTTCAACCTCCGCATCTCAGATTTTTGACGCGAGGGTCGACCTGCGCGTCTGAACTTTTTGACGCGGAGTTCGTCCTGCGCGTCCAAGCTTATCTGACGCGGGGTTCGACCTTCGCGTCTGAACTTATCTGACGCGGGGTTCGACCTTCGCGTCTGAACTTATCTGACGCGGGGTTCGACCTAACGAGGAAACTCATTTCAATAACGCGGGGCTGGACTCCGTCGTTTGGTATTTCTGACGCGGGGTTCAACCTCCGCATCTCAGATTTTTGACGCGAGGGTCGACCTGCGCGTCTGAACTTTTTGACGCGGAGTTCGTCCTGCGCGTCCAAGCTTATCTGACGCGGGGTTCGACCTTCGCGTCTGAACTTATCTGACGCGGGGTTCGACCTTCGCGTCTGAACTTATCTGACGCGGGCGTTCGGCCCTCGCCGTCTGGTCTATCGACGCGGGGTTCACCCTCGCGTCTGAGTGATTCTATCTGATTGCGGGGTTCGACTCCTCGCAGTCTGATCTTGCTTTTTGCAGTTGTCTAACTCTTCTATCTTCTTCCTTTTGCTCAGTGCGCGCATACCAGCTGAACCTCTTCTTTTTGTCCACCATTTGGGCATGTAGTGGGTGCGGACTGAAAACATGGCCTTCAGCTCACGCCAAGAACTCCCAGTTTTCCGAAATATTAGGCGGAAGAGATCGCGATTTTAGAATTAATTACCCAAGGCTTTCGTTCGACACTCTTAGGACATTTGGTTCGGACGCCCGACTTGAAAGCCCAAGCGTAACGCCAATAGTTCACCTGGATAATCTTTTTCGGGGACTTTGTTGACTTCGACGTCCAGCACTGCTTATTTGCATGGGGACATATAACGTGCGTTGCGGAAAGTTGGGGAACCGCAAACCTTTTCCTTGCCCAATATGGAGAGAGGATGTTCCACCATATCTTATTTCCATGTGCTTCTGTCCCAAGGCATATGCAGAATGGCCCCTGTTTTAAGGGATCAAGATGGGCATGGTTTGCCCTCTCGGGACTTTGACTTTTCACGGGGTCCGCCACAGTTGGTTTACAACCGGCAGGTGATACTTTGCGCCCGGCCCGATTTTATTTTGCTAAGGAGGTATCCCCTTCGCGCGAAGTGCCACAGTCCCGGCGAAGACTTTGTTATAGCGTTTTGGAAAGTAAAGGAGAATTTTCCGCACAAGGATTGTGAGAGCTCCTGGTTGGGTTCATTCTCCAGTGACAGGGAAATTTGACGTGGGCCCAGCATGACGTAAGTTTGTTATGGAGGAAATTGGGGAAACCCCTCTTGCCCAAGCGGATTTACTGGTTCCAGTTCGCGACGAGTGTCGGTAGGTGCTGCCGGGCACTAAGTTTGGGATTATTCCAGAGCCACTTTTCACTTTTCTCTATATTGGAGAAAGTATAGTCCCGAGACTTGCACTTTCTTCACCCCTTC